CAGTTAAGTGGTCCGCGGAGAAGTTTGAGAAACAGAAAGAATACGAAATTTTTTGTCAGCAACCATCAATTCTTTCATGGTCGCGCTGGTATGAGAACAGACTGTTAAAAAAAAAAAGTCATAAAAGTGAACTGGTGAAGGCACCAGACGAAAAAAGGTGGATGTGAATTCTAGAACTGTTTTGTGTCTGAGGAAGGTGATGTAGACACATTTGATATGTGAAATAGGGATAACGGTCAATCTTATACGAATGTGACGACATTGACAGTGAGTGGAACAATGGATTTTTTTTTACGGTGGTGCGATTGACTTTGAAGGACTGCACCTGCCAAGCGTTGTTTGTGGTTGATAACACACAAAAAAAAGGCAGGGGTGGATGTAACTAGGGGAAGTTACCAGACATAAGAACGCGGTACAGCGCTGTCAACTTTGACACGACTGATGCAATAACACAGGTGGTGGCTGATAACGATCAGAAAGCCAAGGCGTAGTATCTCGGGAAGCGATACGAAAGACGGTCTGTCAACTTTGATGTGACAGGATGCAGATGGCTTATTAAATCGGACTGTACAACAGAAGCGGCGTAATGCAACGATTACGATTACGAGTATGATAGGACCGAATATGATTACGGATATGAGGGGGATAAATAAGGAAGGCGACGGCTGAGCTCGTGGGAGTCTCTCTCTCTCGCTCGCTTTCGATCAGTCAGTCAGTGTGGCAGTTGGTTATTGAACGGGTTAGCCGTATTGTGTTAGGAAGGACGTTAGACATGTGTATTCAGTTAGATGAAGCCTAGTGAGGACTGTTGGGGGTCCGTTGATTCAGACTATTATTGTGAAACATCTCTCTTGATTCATTATATTATTGTGAAGCATTCTTTGATTCATGTAATAAAAGGATCAATAATGAACCTGCATCTTCGAGTATCTATGCTGTGGTCAATGTTGTGTGGAATGAGTGGTTAGACTCGGGAAGGTCACATTTGGCGTTGTCGGCAGGGTAGCCAGAGACTCGTTACATTTGGCGTTGTCGGCAGGATAGACTCGGGGACTCGTTACATATATATATATATATATATATATATATATATATATATATATATATATATATATATATATATATATATATATATATAATAGGGCCTACACTTATATTATAAAGATTTTTAAAAAGATTAACATTACCTGCCATATAGGCTATTGTATGTTATTTAGCTGATTTGGACTATTTGTTATTTTCTTTTAAAATGCACATTTTTTACAGTAAAGGGATTTAACTAAAATAATTTAAAAAAAAAAACAACAAAAAACGATGCAACATGGCTCCTATTTTCTACTAGTTAGAGTCCCTTGCCTAAAACCAGGGGCGGAACTACAGTGCCGCCAGACCCCGTAATGCGGGGGGGGGGGGGCTACGCCATTTAGGGGCCTATAGCCGACCATAATAAATTTTTTTATAGTTAAAAAAAATAATTTTCTAGCATCTTTGACTTGACGGCAAAAGCTTTTGTAAATAACACACAGATCTACTACAGTAGTGATGTTATACAGTAGCTAACACATGCTGTTGCGTAAAAAATATATGCCTGAGCTGTAGTGTGAAAGATAGGTAAACGTTTAAAACACGTCCATGACTTATTTCCCCTTTTTAAATAGTAAAATAAGGGTGCTCATAAGCTCCTTTTAATATATTTGTACTAAACAAATTAAAAAGCTATTACTTCTCTTAATTATTATTTTTAAAAAATACATACTAAAGAATGGCATAGCATAAAAAGGAAATATATTCAAAATAAATGATATAAATAAAAAAAAGATATAAAAATAAACGACCCCGACAAATCGGCCCCGACATATGGACCCCGTCATATAGGCTCCCGTCATTTAGGCTCTCGACAAATATGCTCCCGTCATTACGACTCCCGACAAAATATAGGCTCCCGTCATTTTGGCTCACGACAAATCGGCTTCTGTCAATATGGCTCCCGATTAAAGGACCACTGACAATACGGTTTCTGTAGAGACTAAGTCTTCCGACATTGAATATGACACCTGCCAGTGGAACCCCTCCATCAATATTCTTTAGAGTTAGCTTATCCAGCACTCTTAAGTAATACACCGTATGCATCTCTTGTTCGGCAGGCCTTATTTTTTAAATAGTATATCTATTATAAGAAACAGTATATATGACTTCCAAAAATGAGTCCGTTATAGGCTATTCCAACTCAGTGAGTGGGGAGAAGGGTCCACGCTGTACATTCCTACCGACAGTATGCTTGTAGGTTATCAAAACAAAATGCCGTTATCCTGTAAACATGATGTATATCATACATTTACACTTCTGTGCTCGCTTTTAAGCAACAGATCTTCACTGTTGTAAATTAAACATTATCAAAACTTTAGGATTGGTAGAATTTAGCTGTTAAGGGCTCCAATTGTGAATTGATGTTGGTTCATGAAAAACAATTTCATTCAGGCATTTAAAAGAGATTATAGTGGTATTGGAGGTAGGACAAAATAGTTACTTTTATGCCAATAGTGGTCATGCCATTTATTTGTCTGGAGCCAATATGTCGGTAGCCAATATGTCGGTAGCCCAGTTGTCGGGAGCCCATTTGTAGTGAGCCCTTATGTCGGGAGTTAATATGTCGGGAGTTGCTTTGTCGGGAGCCAATATGTCCTGAGCCTATCTGTCCGGAGCTAATATGTCGGGAGTCCGTTTGTCGGGAGCCTAAATATCGGGAGCCCATTTGTCGGGAGCCTATATGTCGTGAGTCAATATGACGGGAGCCCATTTGACAGAAGCCAATAAGTCGGGGCCCTATTGACGGGGCTATTTTGACTGGGTCGTTTTGTCGGGGGTCGATTTGACGGGGTCGATTTGTCCCGGGCCGTTTTGACAGGGCAATGGATAAACTAGTTCTAAATATAAAAACAAATATTTAAAACAGACAAATGCACGCACACACCAGACATGTTGCAATTTGTTTCAATTGAAGAAAAAAGACACATTTTTTTCAAAACCCGATGAGGCCAGAAATAAGTATCCAATGTTTGTATTCTGATTTGGAATATATATATATATATATATATATATATATATGTATTATATATATATATATGTATTATATATATATATATATATATATATATATATATATATATATATAGGGGGACCCAAACATTTTTTTGCGGGGTGGCCCTTTTTTTCTAGTTCCGCCACTGCCTAAAACCCTTCAAAATGTTTTTTTTTAGTAAGGAATGCTGAAGCGAAATATGAGTATTAATAATTATGAGATAAAGATTTTATAGTTTTACTTACAGACTTCAAGATTCAGTACAATAACACAAAGAAAAAAGGTTTTAATTTAAAGATAGTTTTTTTTGTTTTGTTTTATTGATTTTATGCTGTGCAATTTTAAAGTCGTAAACACAAACTAAAAACCACATCTACAATAGAATCTATATACACAAACACAGTGGTAATGTAGTGAAGGTCTATTGTTTTGTTATGGTTTAAGATGGGTACCATGCTGTAGAATGCCCGTATGTCACACTGTACAGCTCTGGGTCTCCAGGTAGTGACCGCTAGACTGGCACCGTCTTGGTTGTGGACAGTCCCCAGAATGTCCTGCCATTTAGGTCCTCCCGTGTATAATGGACGTCTCCCATGCCACATGCCCATATGCCATCGGCAGACAGGCAACATTCGGGGCAGCCAGCCATTGGTTGACCGTGGGTAAAACACGGCCTCTGTGACGTCACTGATCCAGTCATGATGACGCGTCGTGTCAAGGGTGAAGATGAACAAACACAGGTAGAACATACTTAAGCACAGGTGGGAGACCACTGCGGTGACACAATCATACAGTCTTCTCTATATGTAGCGTTTTGTTACTAGAGTCGTCAACCTCATCAATTTTAAGTCAGCTATGAAATCCTCTCAAACAATACTTTTTGAATCCAGTAACAGTCAGGAGTCTGAAAATATAAGCCAAGTGTATGTTTTCAGACAGCTTAAGCCATATGGGTTACACAACTGAGTGTATGTTTAAAACCGTTTGAGTCATATGGGTTAAGGACCCGATAGTATGTTTTCAAACCGTTTGAAGCACTTTCAAAAACATTAGTTTTTGAAGAACCCTAAATTGTCTGAGAGAAATTGATTTTTGGATCTATTCAAATATTTGCATCTCAATGATAAAATTATTGCTGCTTGTGGACCAAGGCATTAATTATCCTCGAGCGTCTGGCACAGTAGATGGAGTTGTGCTACAAAACACTGTACTTACCTAATCTAGTTTATCACAATTATGATGTTGTAGTAAACTAAAAACTTTACTTACCCAAGTAAGGGTATTACATTACAGAATTTAAATATTCCAATGGTGCAATTTAAAAAATAATGTACGGTTGTAATAATTTTTGTTATCCAAAGTTATTGTCCTTTAAATTACAGTGGACACAAATTTATCCTCTGAAACAAAATAATAGATGTTAAACATATCATTGAAAGACTAGTGGTTCAAACTCAAAATAAATATTTGTCAAAGTAAATTAGAAAGAGAATAAGTTCATAATTATAGTATCTAATCTTATTCTATATTCAGCCCCTGGATGAAAATAACAAATGTTAAACTGTTTAATAAAACAAACGTAACACTATTCTAATGTAAACATCATTTGACCTACTATTTAAGTGACAATGTTTTGATCTACTATTTACCTGACAGTGTATGTTATTTCCATAAAAAATTACAGGTGGTACTATGTTTTGCCGTAACTTTTATTTAAAGAATTTAACGTGATCGTTGACTTCACTAAATGCAGGAGAAGAAGAAGTAAATTCACTAGACATATTTAGTTTATTTAACGATTTCTTTTAGGAAAAAAATTATTTAAAAGTCTTATACATTCTTAAAAAACAAAATACAAAAAATACTATTTAAAGTCTTATTAAGTTGAATGCTAGACCTCTTCAACCAAACCCAGTTGACGATGAGCCTTGAGGAGATGATGTCCAGCAGTGCTGCAACCAATGGCCTGGCGATGACCACAGCTGCAAACACTCTGCTCTACAACATCCCCACCGAGGTGTTCAATGTCCTCATGTTCTGGGTGTACTGTGTCACAATTCCTGTCCTCAGCGTCTGCGGAATTCTGGGTAACTGTCTGACAGTAGCCATCATAACTCACCACGGGCTCAAGGACACGACCAACATCCTGTTGACCTTCCTGGCACTGTCTGACCTCCTGTACTCCATCACCGAGTTCTTGAACTGCACCTCCCTGCTGATCAGCCAGTTCGACCTACCCCAGGCCTACACGTTCCACGCCTATCACCTGGCCTACGTCAACACCTGGAACATGTACACCGTGGCCACTAGCTCATACCTGGTGGCGCTCATCTCTCTCGACCGCATGATCGCCGTCTGGCTCCCATTTCAAGCTGGTTCCATCCTCACGCCTGCCAGAACTACCATCACAGCTGCCGTCGTCTGCTGCTGTTTGTTTATCATTTATTGTTTTGATTTCCCAAGCTACTACATTCAATGGCTACACTCTAGTGAGTACAACAAAACGATAGCTGTAGTTTCATATTCCGAATTTCGTTTGAAAAATACTTCCTTCTTTGCTATAATCAACAAAATAAATATGATCTTTATCATGATGTGTGTCCCGCCCACCACAATCGTCACTTGTTCCGTCATGATCGTCGCTCGACTCGTCCAATCGTCTCAGCAAGCCAGGAAGATGTCCATCAAATCTTACGCCAGGAGAGTCAAAGACATCAAGACAGTGAAGATAAGCCTGGCCCTCTGCGTGTGTATGATAACCCTCACGCTAATCCCCTCCTACTCGAGCACAATGTTGATCTACACGGGGTTCCCAGCTTCAGGTAACTTCCAGCGTGTGATCGCCGCCCTCATTAACATACTGTTCCAGGTGAACGCCTCCATTAACTTCATTATCTATGTCAAGATGAGTTCCAAGTTCGCCAGCACATACCTGCAGCTCTTATCAATTTGTATTCGTGTCAGATAAAAAATTAAAGTTTACAAAAGTCAGACCAGAATTTAAAGCTATTTAAAAACAAACTTTTTGCAATTTGCTAAGTTATAGTAGGTTACGTTTATTTTTGCCAAATATTTTTTATCAGTCGAAACTCTGGTGTTCGCTTATGTAGTTAATCATGCACTCTAGCTCTCTATATTGTCGCTTACTTATCATCAGATTCTATGGGTAAGTAGGCCTTTTATTAATAGTTTTATCACATGATTAACACACTGATCAAATTGTGAAGCGCCATGGTAATGAAATGTTAAGCACATCCCAGATATAAAATATCATTTGTTAAGGTCATTGCATCAATTAATGATTGACTTACATGACACTATTGTTTCGATATCTTAAAACTGGCGGCTTTTAAACGACCCCAGGGTGTGGCTGTGGCAACCACATTGTCGGAAGCCCTCCTGTCGTGGACCATTTATTTTTGTATTTTTCCCTTATGAAGCGAAAGCGTGTGAACATTTTGTTTTGTATCTCAAATCATACTTTTTCAAGCAGAATATAGTCCAACCACTAAAGCCATCAGATTTGTATTCAAACTCGACCGTTTGATGATCCATTTTTACGTCATATAACTTTGTTTTGGATTGGGGTGGATCACGAATGTCCCGGTTATTTTGTGATATATTTCATGACAGATCAGCCGATAAGTCACCCTGTATGAGAAAAAATTTGATGAGGGGATCTGGTTTGATGCTAAATAAACCACTTCCTTCATTTACCACGGAGGTAAAGAAATACAAAACTCTCTATCTATATTTATAATTCTCTTCTGGGAGACGCTAGAAAACAAGCTGTAAACGCGCTCCCTACCACCCCACCCCTACATGGTCTTAGTGAGCTGTGTTCACTCTAAATGTTTACAAGCAGAACAGGGTTTAGTGACGACTATTAGGGGCAGATAATTTAGTTTGAAACGATTTTAAACGTAAGGGGGGGGGGGGAGAGGGGGGGGGGAGGAAGGGGTGGGGGGGGGGGTTATGGTCCTTAACGAGCTACTTATAGTGTATTAAAGAAATATTTTCAGTGGCAGCGTTGGTACTGTCGAATTCACAAATTATGAATTACTGAAAAGTAGAAAAAAAATAATTAAATAGCGGCGTATGTTATGCCACGGGCCGGCTCGTGGTTTGAATAATGGGCTGGTAAGGAGTTAAACGGTAACAACTCTGTATGATTAGTTTTGCATAGTTTTGCAGTTTAGCGCTAGCTGACGGATTTTAAGAATTCGCACTGTAAGGAAATGCAACTGTTTACTTAAATATGCATCGACAGAAGAATGTTGTAAAGAATAACTAGATTTATTTAAAAAAAATGAAAAATACATAATTTACAGTGTAATGTCAATACCAGAAAGACAAAAGTGCGACTGGTTAATAATTTATTGTCAAATCGACGTGGTTCTTGATCTCCGTATTTCTAAAATAACCCCATCTGCTCATGTACTGGTAATACCGTCTCGAGACGCTTAACAACCCCCGAGAGGATGGGGGATGTTCTTGTCGTTAGTGTGTGTGTGTGTGTGTGAGGGGGGAAGGGGAGGGGAATGTGGATTTATTAAAATCAATACTCTGATTGATTTGAGTATGTGGCTAAGTACCACCATATTATACATAAGAAAAATTTATAAAGTCAATAAATTGCCATTCGACACCAGAATCTTCTGTGCCAGCCTTAAAATTCATCGTTTGTTCCCGCAAATCGCCCTCTGTGTGAAAGTGCAGGTTCCTCACAGAAAACAGGAATATTTTCTCCTTCCACGGTGTTGTTGTCTGCAGCTTCCCACCACAGTATGATAGAGACTAGCGCAGAAAGGCCGTTGACACCTTTTATTATCTCTTTATTTTTTTTTTAGAAAGAGTCACTTTGCGACTAATTACGTAACCAAAAAAAAAAAATTAAAATGGTAAAAAAAAATAACCAAGCATTTTTGTTGTTGAAATAACAGAAAACCGTATTCCCGTGTGTCGTTTTACAACTCACTAGGATATATCAAGACCACACCAATACCCGGTTTTGCGCCAATAACTAAATAAAATCTATACAATTTGTGAATGACTTTTAATCCAGAAAAAAACCGAATTCACTGGTGAGTTAGTCTACCAGAAGAAAAAGTAATAAGATTAAACAATTGAAAACTAACACTTAGTGTTCTTTAAAGTCAGTAGCATTTAAAATTCTAAGGTCGCCCTAATTATGAAGGGACACTCTGGGGTGACCCTAACAATGGAGGGACACTCTGGGGTGACCCTAACAATGGAGGGACACGTGTTTTTGTTTCTTTTAATCAAGAGATCATTAATTTAACATGGCCAAGTCAAGTGCCGTCTTACTCGTAAACATTTTGAATTTTAAGTTTTGGTTAGGTGCTAAAATACAATTTATACCCCAATTACAGTAAAACACACCTAATGTCAAGGCTAAAGTCTTGGTACTTTGGGAGCAGTAGATAGATACAGCCTACAGTACGTGGTTACAAATAGACAGTTTCATTGTTTATGCAAACCAAATTTTTAGCTTCAAGGATACGATTTGGTTTATCATATAAGTATAGTAAAACGGAAGTGATAAAGCCATAACTCATGGACAGTGACAAATTAATGGGCTGAACAGGAGGCCACCAATTTTCTGTTAACGGCCATCGTTAAAAAATTTCCTATCAATGTTTTGTTTGTTGCTTACAATCTAAATGAATGTTGTATGCCCACCACAGAAGCTTTTTGTCCTCTGTAGTTAATGCGCGCTCTCCCTAAATCAATAAATGTTTTTTTGATTGATCTCGGCTTATAAAGCACGACAAGTGAGTAAATTAAATCAGGCTAGCGTTCTTTGTCAGACCTGCAAGTCTTAATTAGACTGATCACACATACAAACATAATACAAAAAGATATCTATTATAACTCTACGCCTTCCATTGTATCTAGACACGCACCACTTTACCCTAACAAGTTTACATCAGAAGGTCTATTTAGAAAGGTATGGAGCGTTGTTTTCAAGCTGTGTTACCTGAATCAAATTTTTGTATAGTTATGCTTTTTTTAAAGATAAATTACAACATATTCAAGCACCGTAGTTGCAATATCATTTGTTTATCAGGTTATCCTGTATTTGTACTCCTTATGTCATGGAAGCTATAATTGAATATTATTTTCCAGTATGTTTTGTCATTTAAGCCCAAACACGTTGAATCCAATTAAAAAAACATCCGACCCACACATGTTTGTGTATCAGTAGACGATTAGAAAACTGTGGCTCTAGACTAATTGAGCTTATATCAGTTCTTCTTCTTCTTCGTTCTTAATTAACTATGTGATGGAGGATGTAAACAACAAGCCCTACTTATATCAGTCAACGCGATCTTTTTGGTAGTGTTTAAATATCCAGTAAATCATCATGATGGTTCCCGTAAGGTGGTTTAAGATATTTTTTGTTTTAAATTTTCTGTTAACTAAACAGGGGCCCTTCAAAAAGTCATTTTTTGTCTGTTCTAATGTCATGATTTTTACAGATATTTATTCTTATCCACGCTCCGTGGTCGATGCGGACCTGTATTGTTTTTGTTTTAAATTTTCTGCTAACTACACAGGGGCCCTTCAAAAAGTCATTTTTTGTCTGTTCTAATGTCATGTTTTACATAGATTTATTCTTATCCACGCTCCGTGGTCGATGTGGACCTGTATATTTGTCACTTGTGCGGGTGGCCAAACCTTTAGTGGTATAGAACATGCTGAGAGAACCACGTGATACAAGAGCTAAGCATGTATTAACTCGCTAGTTAAAATACCATCAGTTTACTTTATTTCCTATCTTGGAATACTTATGTATTTTTTCACACACACACACAAACACACACACATATTTATTTATACATATATAGCCTATGTACGTGTATATATATAAATATAAATAAATAAATATACAGCTTATACACGTATGCTGGAGACCATACGTGGCTTTAATAAAATGCTAACAAAGCAGCTGTTACATTTTATTTGATAGATCACAACAGAGGAATGTGAGCTTGACAAGCGTACACAAGGGTCGAATCATTCCGTATGACGTGAATTGAAGGTGCTCCGCGGTCGGACCATTGTTTCAGGACTCCAGTTCCTTTGTGTAAAGCCTGGTGTAATATAGAGAACTGATAAGCGTTGATAATAATAGATTCGCTATTCTGTCCTTCTCTCTGTCGGGATCGCACTAGAGAAAACACATGCAAAATAATAAAAATATAATAAATCTGCGGTTATTTAAATATAAAAAAGTTACTATAATAATAAGTATAATAATAAGTATAAAAATATGTATTTAAACAAGCGGCCCACGTTTTTATTTATAGTGATATAAATAGTAGTGCATTAATATATTTGAAGAAAGTAACTTTTTTTTATATTTAAAGTAACCGCATAATTATTATATTTTTAAACATTATTTTACATTCAATACAAATTGTATTATTTTTTTCTTTTTGGTGCATTTATAAAAGCTTGTAATTATAATTTTTTTAATGAAATTATCATTTTTATACTTTTTAGTATTAACGAGTTATTCGCATTTTTTAAGACAATATAGTGTAGCAACAAATATATGATACACAATTTGAAAAACAGTTTTGTTTTAATATGATTAGTTTTACTATACGTGTCACATGTACTGATGTGTTAGTTACAATCCAAAAATTGCCACAATTAGCTGAACACATATCATAGAACACAAATCTTTAACACTTCTTTAACCGAAGACATTAATACTGTTCAGTCTGTGGTCAAGTTTATAGCTAAAGTTTCAGTTAAGTATTATGGGATGGCGTAGTCTAGTGGTAAAGAACTAGACTGCTGACCCGACCAAAACCTTCCTTACCCGGGGAAAAAAGTCGGAAAGAGACACTATCTGCGTGATTGAGGTTAAGCGGCCAAAAGTAGTAAACGGGTCTAGATAATAGAAGTAGTGTCTACCTTTGTTATACAAATGCGACTAGTGTTTCTTTCAGACATTTTTCTCCCTGGGGGAGGGGTCCTTAAAATTTTCGGGGGGTGGGGCGGTTGGACTTAATTTTCCGGGAGAAGGGATATATATTTTCAATATAAATTATATTTCGTTATAGGGGTAGTTGACGTTCTTCAGGGGACTCAGCCCCGCCCCCCCTCTCCCAGAAGGGTTGCCTGAAAGAAACTCTGAATGCGACTTTTGTCATGTTTGAGCTTAGCTTCAAGGTATAAGGGTATGACAACGTTTGCATTTAGTAGGGATATGCAGTAGCTACGTTAAAATGCCGATTCTGGATAAAAATTCGTTTTCAATTACATGTTTCGTTTCCGGTTAAATTGGAAGAAGAGGTGGTGAGTTTGATTTTGGTTTTAGTTTAGAGAAAAAGACAACACTGTCAACATAGCGCCCGTAGTATTTCTCCCTCAACGGGCCATTTATATAGTAAGTAATATTTACAGCTGAACGTGTTCTTTTCTATAAATAACACATGAACAGTAAGACTAGATTGGTTTGATCTGGTAGCATGTGTTTGAGTTCATCCTAGAGAACTTTGAACAAAGTTTTATGCGTTATTTTAAAATATAACCAGTTGTTCAGCGGATATTTGTGTCAAACGTTCTCAGCCTTCTGGAGTCGTACGGTGGGAGAGAAAAGATCAACAGTCTCAACATCTATCGTGCCATCGCTTCGTTGCTGACAGTATGTTCTGAGAGATTACATCAACAAATACGATTATATCACAAGTCGATTCAGTGTTGCCCAGATACGAGTGCTAACTACAGCTTTTTCAGCTAGACAGTGCAATATACTGAGGTAACTCAAAGGTGCTTTTCATTTTACTTTAGAGTAACTTTACAGAGATTACACTAAAAATGTATGCAAGAATTCAATACAATAACGTGAACAATATATTTTAAATTTTTTATAAGATAGACATGAACATGTGTATTCATTCGCTGTGTGCTATTTTTAAATGTGGAAGCAAAAACAATACGTTAATTTATTCATGATATATACATTTAGTAATTTATGCACATTTTGAACGTTTTTCATAAATTTATCTAATTTGAAGGTTTGAGCATGGTTAAGTCACAGTTCTCCCTCCTGTTTATAACGATGATGGTTTTTGTGAATGTTACGTCACATAAACGGACGTTTAAGGCCGCGGTCTACGGGCACGAAGTGATTCTACCTACGGACACTGACAGCGTCATCTCACGAGCACAGGCCCTCGTTAACATGAACAAAAATCTGGGGGTTTATCGTGAGCAGGCACGTTAGGCTAAACGAAAGGTAAGTTGGGTGGGAGTGTGTAGGATGGGGGGTAAACTAGAGGTAAGTTGGGTGTGTGGGAGGTTAAACTAGAGGTAAGTCGGGTGTGTGTGGGGGGGGGGGATGGGGGGTAAACTAGAGGTAAGTTGGGTGTGTGGGAGGTTAAACTAGAGGTAAGTCGGGTGTGTGTGTGGGGGGGATGGGGGGTTAACAAGAGGTAAGTTGGGTGTGTGGCAGGCTAAACTAGAGATAAGTTGGGTGTGTATGTGTGTGTGGGAAGGGGAATAAACTAGAGGTAAGTTGGGTGTGAGGGAGGCTAAACTAGAGGTAAGTTGGGTGTGAGGGAGGCTAATATAGAGGTAAGTAGGTGTGTGGCAGGCTAAACTAGAGGTAAGTTGGGTGTGTGGGAGATTAAACTAGAGGTAAGTTGAGTGTGTGTTTTTTTAACCTTTTTATAGAAAATTATTTTTTTAATAATTTATGTAACTAAAAGTGATGATGTTGCTTTATCAACAGGGTGCCAACATCATTGTCTTCCCTGAAGATGGACTTTACGGTTACGTATTTAAACGAGAGACCATCGCCCCGTACCTAGAGACAATCCCCGACCCTAGGGACGTGACGTGGTCTCCGTGTGTCGACCCAGGACGGTATAAAAACACGGACATTCTGCGGTCGCTCAGCTGTATAGCTAAAGACAACGGCCTGTACCTGGTAGCTAACATGGGGGACAAGCAGCCATGTTGTAACGTCACAGATCCCAAGTGTCCGGCTGACGGTTGGTACCAGTACAACACCGATGTGGCTTTTGGTCCGGGCGGTACTCTCTTGGCCAGGTACCACAAGTACAACCTTTACCGCGAGCTCCAGTTTGACAGGCCCCCTGTGAATGTTGAATATTTTGACACCCCGTTCGGCAGGTTTGGTTTGATGGTCTGTTTCGATGTTTTATTCTACGAGCCGGCTATAGCGATGGTGCTACAGCACAATATTTCTAACATCGCTTTCCCAACAGCGTGGAGGGACTCACTGCCTATCTTGTCTGCCATAGGATTTCACTCCTCGTTTGCGCGCGCTCTTGGTGTAAACTTTCTCAGTGCCAACCTTCACCTTCCAGACTTTAGATTTCACGGCAGTGGCATCTACGCAGCAGAAGGCGCGAAGAGCTTCTACTACGGAGCACGCAATGATTCGTCACCCAAACTTTTGGTCGCTGAGCTGGATGTGGTGGACAGACCTGAACCGAACATAGAGACAACACATCCAAGACTCGATAACCCCAGGTCTAACAATGTGGTCAGCCGTCATGTAAAAACGCCAAATATTGCTGAATTTACTTCTGTGTTATCAAAAGACGCATTCACTTTCCGAACTCTAGATTCGCCATCAGGTTCTATCCGAGTGTGTCAGAAAGAGGTCTGTTGCTCCCTTAATTTTTCCATCGATCCTTCATGTTTTGGGAACGATCTTTTCGCGTTCGGTGCGTTTGATGGTCCGCACGCGCACAGAGGTGAGTACTACTTACAGGTGTGCACGCTGGTCAAGTGTGCACAGGCCACCAACAGAACCTCTTGTGGGACCTTCACGTACACGTCATCAACCTATTTTCTAAAAATAGAAATGAGGGCGGAGCTACCAACCCGTTATGTTTACCCTCAAATTGTGCTGTCTAACCGCGAGGGGGAGCTAGGGCTGGCACACGACGACACCTGGGGGTTTCATGTCGGCACTCTCAACACCAGTCCCGCGTTCAACGCCACGCTTCTCTCAGCAACACTGCTTGGTAGGAACTACCCACGTGACCGCAAGATTTAAACCCATTGGATAAAAAAAAATTAGTTCATGTTGAGAGAGCTCACTGTTTCAGCTTTACTAATATACTGCGTCTAATTGTCAGAAAAATAAAGAGTTTTTAAACAAGACGAGCGTTAAGTTTTGGTTATACACAAAAAGGTGCTTTAGGATTTAAGTTTGACAGACTAAGAGGTGTTGTTTTTTTCTTTTAGATCAATGCGAGTTTTCCAATTTTGTTTTAAAGCAATATCAACATAATACAATAATTAATACGACTGGTTATGTCAAAGCTTCAAGTAATGCGAGTAAAAAAGAAAAAAAAAAACTTGAACAATAAGCCGATATAAATTATTTTACCAGTGTCGACCAAAGTAATTATTTAAAATACATGTAGGCCTACCTGTTTAGTAATAAATAATGTTATTTTCTTTTCGAATAAAACTCAAAAATTTTATAGGCCTAAATATCGATAAATATTTTCAGCTACCCTTCTCTCGCGTCAGTTTGACATAACTGACAGTTTTATTTTATACTCGCCGTCGGTACCTGCTCCACGGGAATTATAGGCCTATATATTTTAATGTTATACTTTTAAAAAAAAAAACGATAAAAACCTGTTGTCTGAGACTCGGTGGGACACTGGGCATGTGAACTAGAGTTAGGTAGTGTAAGGTACACCTGTGACGTCAGCATATGAAGGGATAGTGTGGTTAGACTCGTGCTCAGCGAAATCGGTGTTTTTATTCAAAAGACAAAAAAGTCAGAGGCGTGAAGTCTTTTTGAATGTGGGGTCTGGTTCTTTCGTGACGATAAGTGACAGACGTGATGTCATTTATGGATGACCCCGAAACTCACAGTTATCCAAAGGATGACGGGTGGTCTAGTAACTATAAAAAACGCGTGGGTCACTAAATTATCTATTGGACACATCTACTAATATTAAGGAAGAGAGATGCATTTCTTTTTAGTTATTTAAATAGTAGTGTATTATTATAAATTTAAAGAAAGTAATTTTTTCTCCCTTTTATTACATTTATTTTTTTATAAAATGGTTTTTATGCATTTTTGTCTAAGAAACACTGTTGAGCGCATCTATGGTGGCGGCAATTTGTCCTATATAGCTGCGAAATTACATATCTGTCTCGTGCAAATCAAAATAATTCTTATGGGAATTTTACCTCTAATGGCTTATTAGTTGGCTAAGACCTAGACTCACAGGAGAGGGGGGGGGGTGTATGACCACGTGTGAGATTTTATGCTCACATTTGGGAGTTACGGGTACAGGTAGGGATGTATGACTACAGGTTTGAATAGTATTGATTGTGTGATCACGTGGACTGCGTGCAAGATATCAGGAAGGTAGAGTTTCATGTGTTTGAACAAGGCTTCGGTGTGGTTTCTCAAGTTCAGTGTTTATCAATGGATCATTATGAGCTGCACAATGTAGCTTAAGTCACATTGCTAGGCCAAGTAAGACACATTAGATCACGTTCAGCAGACGACATTTTAACAAAAAGGATAACAGCTTTTCTGTGCGTTTAAGTTTACCATGTTTAAGTTTGGAGTCATTTTCTTACTTGCAACTGCTCCGTTATGTAATTTGTTTTTATATAACACATGAACTAGAGTCTAGAGATTAAATAACGGCTTTCTCCGTTTTTTGCTGGCTACTAACTTTGTGAGTTTTGAAATTATTCTTATTAGAAATATGTGTTACAATATTTCGGAATAAATAAAAAAAAACAATCTACGACAAGTGCCCCGAAATCATTTAATTATTTTCGCGAAGAGAAATTTTTCAAATTCCTGAAATGCCGCTGTCACTAATTTCACTTTCTCGTTCTTTTTATATGTTGAACCACACCAAACAGGAGACACCAAGAATTAATGGAGACAATGTATGTAAGTCAGAATTGGTGTAGGTGGTGGTGATAGAATAAGAGCAGTTGAATACCCCAATAGATCCACATAAAGGAAAGTTGCCTCAGGTTCTTACAGCAAGTGCCAACGTTACGCTAGGGCATATGAATATATATATATATATATATATATATATATATATATATATATATATATATATATATATATATATATATATATACATATATATATATATATACATATATATATATATATATATATATATATATATATATATATATATATATATATATATATATATATATATATATATATACTAGCCGTCCCGGCCAGACCCTGCACTGGCATCTCTGAAAAACGTATCTGTAAAGGATCATAACTTGTGTGTTTAGTAATCAGCATTTATCCGGCATTGCCCACCCAAAAACGCAAACACAAACCCAACCACAACCAAACAAAACCAAAAGCAAAACATACAACAAAAAAAAACAACGCAAACATAAAACAAACAAAAATACAAACACAAACGAAACACAAAAACAAACGTAAACACAAACACAATCACAAACACAAAGAAAACACAAACGCAAAGAAAAAAAGCAAACGAATACAAACCCAAACCCAAATCCAAACGCAAACACAACCACAACCACAAACGCAAACTGAAACTCAAACACAAAAAAACGCAAAGATAAACTCAAAGTGTCCACAGTCTAGCCCGGGGCGCCAAATCGCACTATGAATACATGCGGCGTAACCGCCTTTTTCAACTTAGTAAACGACTATAGTACCCAACTTATTGATAGTCTTTTGAACTCACGCGGACGTAGGTACCATAGCGTACACGGGAAGGCCCGGGGCGCCAAATAGTACACTGTCGGGGTACCGGAGGACGCCCGGATTTGATTCACTTAAAGACTATAGTAACCTTTCTTATCCATAGTCTATCGCACTGTTTAAAACAAAATTATGCAGCATAGCGATCACACGATAACCCAGGGCGCCAAATCGAATCGTGCAGGGGCGCCGGCGGACGCGCCTGTTTCAATTTAGTGAACAAAATTATAATACTCCAAGCTTATCCGTAAATGGAAAGGAATAAACAAAAAGGATTTGTAGGACCTGGCTTATTAAATGTTATTGATTTTAAAATAATAATTAGTAAACAGTATGTTCAGTGTATAGAATAAATAAAAGACAGTATTAAAATACCAACGACATTGCACTCAATCAATCCCCGCTAATTATGTTATTTATTTATTTTTCTTAACACCAAAACAAAGTAATAAAAAAGTAAATTCTTTCTTCCCCCCGATTTAATGGTTTTTTATAGGGAAGTAACTGTGTTTTCCAAATCAAGGGACGTTATGAGAACTAAAGGTCACAATGCAAATACATTTCAGACACAATTTTAGAAATGTTATAAGCGTTGGTACACTTTTTTTTTAAAATTGTATGTAATGTTCGTAATTGAAAATTATTATTTTAAGTATATAAAATGAAAATTGTTTTTAAAGACTTTCAATAGTAATTTTTTAACTCATAAATTTAGACCATGAGCACTAAAATAATCTAACACTTAAATCCATGGAAGTATCCACGATAAACAATTTATAAACTCGCAGAATTGAACTTTATATTATATATATATATATATATATATATATATATATATATATATATATATATATATATATATATATATACATACACACACATATATATATATATATATATATATATATATATATATATATATATAACATAATAACAACTTTTTATAAACAATACCGTTTCTAGACTAAGCCGCTGCTTGGTTTATAGTAGGGTGGTTGTTGTACCTCAGATTTTAAAAATCTTACCAGCTATACAACTAGCTGCATGGGAATACTAAAAATGACGTGATAAGTAAAATATGCTCGTTTTAGACTATTTAATAAATATGTATGCCTAACACAAACATTCTTTAACTCTAGATTTAAATTCCTGAATTTTTTTGTATTTTGTTTAGAGCTAGTTGGTTTGTAATATAACTAGAAAGGTCGATTAAAAATAGGAGGGGTATGAAATTTAAAAATTTGTCAACACATTAGTATTTTAGTAGGTATGCGTGCTGTTCATTTTGTCCTATTTGTTCTTGGTGATTTCACAATCGATTGAACTTCAAAAGAGCTTTTATTTGTAGTAGTGGCGCAGTTTGAGTCATGACTAAGTCAATACAGATAAGAAAATCAATAGTACAATATTAGAAAATGTATTAGAATAAAAGAATTTAGATAGCATAAGACAGTGGTTCCCAACCTTTTTCGAGTGGCGACCCCCTTTTATAAAAAGTAAGTGACCCGCGACCCCCATAGAATTAAAAAGCCGACATTAGTATGGAAATTAATAAGCATTAAAATAAGATTTTCTAGTAGACTTTCAATATGAACTACTCTTGACAACTGTTTTAATAGCATGAGTAAAATTGCCTACTATTCACTAAACCTTCGTGGTTAACTTTTTAATGATTTTGTTTGTTAACGCCAACCTATGTCATTATAATTATCTTAATTTTGTTTTTAATCGAAGAATAGTGTTGAAAATATATTCTCGAAAAGTCAATCGACTTTACGTTTGGGTATGAATGGTGAATACTACACCAAAATTGTGTCTGCAGTTTTTCATCTTACTCGGAATCATTCTGCACATCAAAGAATTCATCTTGTAATTCATCGGGAAAGCTGGCAACATCAAGGGAAGAAGAGAATGGGCAGTAGCGTACGCAGGGGGGGGGGGGGGGTCCTTCCCCTCTGGCCATTTTCAGCAAAGTGGCGCCTTTTTGGAAACTTTTTAAACTCAAAGTTTTAAACAATGATATTTGTTAAAAAAATTTGGTCGGCACATTCTAAAAATAACCATTACGATGCATTGCAATGTTTAAAAAACCTCTACGGTAAAACCACTTGGCAAGAGGGGTGTTAAGTTTAAGGCAACTGTATAATGTATTTGCTTACGAATAATTGAATTAGAAAATGTTATACATAAAACTTCACACATAATTACTTTATATATACAGTTTGAATCGTGTGATTAATTTTAAAAAATTACAATACAGAAACGAATACAACTGATGTGGCACCTCTATTTAAATTTACTCA